GAAAGACGACCTACAACACCTCCCTCGATTACCCGGATTCTTTGTTACCGTTAGGATTCTCTCCCAACGTTCGCCTAGCTCAAAATATAGAGCCAGGAAACGACTCGCAGCTAGAATGAGCAGGAAATGGAGGAAAAGGACCCACTAGAGGGATGAAAACCATGTTGAGGTTTGGATTCTGATGTCAGGTTCAGCCACCAGGGCTCGCTTCTTGCCGCATTTGTGGATGCTCGAGCGTGGAACAGGCTCCCTGCTCCCGACAGAGAGCGAGAGAGAGAGACAGAGATAGAGAGAGCGAGCGAGAGACGGAGAGGCCCTGCAGAAGAAGAAGAAGAAGAAGAAGAAGAAGAAGAAGAAGAAGAAGAAGAAGAAGAGACGGAGAGGGATAGAGGAAGGGTGTTCTAGGAGGAGCTTAAAATGCCGCTTTCTTGCAAAGTGCAGGACTCCCGGGTGCCTGCGTGCAGAGCCTCCGGGACCTCCGGGCTAGAAGTCCCCTGAAGTAACGAGATATAACGAGCATGTGGATGCCATGCATCGGGCATTCATTATACTGCATTCTAAGCAAGATCAGCTTAGTCGCTTTGTCATTACCTTGCAAGGTTGGTTCTTGATGTTCACGGCAAGGTGCTTGAGCCGGGACCTTACGATACCTTACGTAGCCGTAGCATAGTCAAGTGAATTGAAGCCTGGCCGCATGTGCTGTTTGTGGTCTGGAGCCAGCATACTGATACGAAACATGTCCTCTGCGACCCGACTCACAGCACGTCATCGAGCTTACATGATTTGGGTGCTGCAATTGGAACAAGGTTCTGGCCTCAAGAGTAGCTGAATGCCATGACAATGGTCGCTGAAGGGCATTGAAAGAATGAGTGAGGTTCTCTGTTCATGGACATTTATTGCCCCGAGTGGTGTAAAAGAAGCAAGGCTCAACACAATCGAGTTGCTTCTCGAGTCCAGAGAAGCTAACCGAAAGCCCAAACACCAAAGACCGGCCCCCAAAGCCAACAAGCCTTTGCTCTTTATCCAATGGCTCGAACAGCCAGAAGTTGCCTTGTGCTGTTTTTATTTTCGTCTTAATTTCAATATTATTTCTTCATTTCGGCTTACTTTTCCAAAATCGTGCCTTAATTCGTCTGCCTTTCGTTTTGATTTCCAAATTCGTATCTTAATTCATCTGTCCAAAACCATGCCTTAATTTCGTCTTATTTTCATCTTAATGTTCAATACCGTGTCTTAATTTCGCTTTACGTCCATCTTGTTTTTCAATACTATATCTCAATTTCGTCTTAACCATGTCTTAATTTCGTTTTACTTTCGTCTTACATTTTAATTTTCAATACCGTGTCGTTCCAAGAACGATGATCTTTATAATAAACATATCTCCAAACTTTTCCAAGATTAAAATAACCCAAAACGATTTTGGATGATAGATAAATTGACAAGACGATGAGAACTAAATCTCCAAGAATATTGATTTCCAAGAGCCAGACGATCACGATGTTAGATAGAATTTCTAAGACGAGTAAACGATCATGATTATAAATAAAGATCCCGAAGATCAATGAATTTTATAACGATTGTGAGAACAAAAACCAGAAAAATTATCCATTGAATATCCCTATAAAAGGCTACGGGCTCGACCCCTATTTTCGCTTTGCGGCCGCCCTGTCGGATGCCCCGCCTCCTCTTCCGATCACGCCTATTGCCTAAAAATCCTGGGAATTTTGATCACCCGGATCTGAAAATTCCCGGAATTTTCGGAATCACCCGGATTGAGGTTTAGGCTTTCCGGGTTGGATCTAAGGTTCCAGCGCAACAATGATGATGTGGGTGCCCCTTCACCTTCAAGGAAATCTTCAAGGAAATCTCTTGGTCCAGGATAGTTCAGATGACGATCGCCGCCCGCCAGCTGATCAAGAATCACCATGTTCGCACGTTCCCTTCCACTTGGCGGTATGCAGTGTCGACGTTGGACACGCCTCATGAGTTTTCGGGATCCCCTCCTGGACCTTTCTTTATTCCTTTGATTTTCAAATTTGTGCTCAAAACGCGAACGGACGTATAATTCCGCATACGCGCGCACAATGCCGCATACGGTCACAAAGCAACCCACAAAACGAGCGCATAAACGCGCTAAACGAGCGCATATTCCCGCAAGCGAGCGCAAACTGATTTGCTGAAAGTTCGAGCGCAAAAAAGCGTATCAAAGGAAGGTCCAGGCCGGGGTTTAAGGGTTTTACGGTTGTGGGGTTTGGGTCCGGAGTTTGTCGGGTTTGGGGGGTTTTGTTTTTTGCTTTTGTTGTAATGGTGTGGGTTTTGTCGGGCGTGGTGGGGGGGGTGGTTTTGGGATGCTGAGGGGCTGGGGCTGGGGGGTTGCGGTTGAATGTGATGGGGGGTGGGTGGTTTTGGGGTGCGGGGCTGAGGGGCTGGGGTTTGAGGGGCTAGGGCTGAGGGGCTGAAGGGCTGAGGGGTTGAAGAGCTGAGGGGCTGAGGGCTTGAA